GGAAAAGAATTTACACTCAAGTCATCTATTAAATATAAAAACAACAAAGTCCAACTTGAAACTAAAAAACTTAAGTAACTGAGTAAGGAATCTAATTAAACACAGAACATGTACAGGTTGCATCACATGCCATTTACTCAGTGAACATGAGCCTAGTTTCTTAACTAACACTATGCACAAGTCAAATCCAACAGTGACTCTTTGTCTTAACAACTCATTAGTGCTGAGTGGAGGAGACAGGTTTTGTGAAGGATCCATGAATCTTTCTACAAACTAAATTATATAAACTCAACAGTAGTTCTGCCTGTCACAGGTCTAAGTTTTTTTCTTTTGGGTTTTAAAGTTTCAAAAGTTTAGAAGCAGAAACAATCCTGACAAAGACCTTCACATGGCCATGGTATATACATATAGACATCCACGTTTAAATACACACACGCCTCATCTTGTATATACAAACATGTATACATATGTACAAGCACATAAGATTGATTAAAATGTTCACTAATCATAACCAATTCTGTTTAGCGAACCAGGGCATACAATTATATACAGCAAAGTATACACATCTTGGCACTTGACCTATTGCAAGGGTTCTCAGCTTTCCAATGTGAATCACAGGCAGATGCCACAGTTGCATGTGCCAAACACCCCTGTGGGTGTAGCAGATGTTGATAAAACTTTACAAAAAAATGTCTACAGAGAAATAAATTACTCAGAAATAGTATAATCCCCACCATGAAGAGCAGCATCATGGTGAAAATTATTCTCTGTGGCCACAGTTCAGGTGAAATAAAACTGCTGCCTATCCAGCTCTGACTTTCCTGCCACTTCTTTTGCATCAGCATCAGAAAATAAACCAGATAGCAACTACCTGGGAATGCCATTGTCAAGAGAACAATAAATTAACTCTGTTTTACAAAGTATTCACTACAATTACCCAGTAACAAATTCCTGACAGTGTCTTTCCAGTCGATCATGACACACGTGTGTTCCTTGGTCAAGAACAAGCTCACAGAACAAACCAGCCTGCTACCTGTGAAGCCACCAGAATGATTCATACCCTTGAAAAAGTTTTATAAAAAAAAATCCAAAAAAGAGTATTTGTGACCTGTGGAAACTGTATGAAATTTAAATTTCAAGATCAGTTAAATTTTATTGGGTGAAGCCATGCTCACTGGTTTATATACTATCTATAAAAGAACAGTTGAAACAGAGGCTACAAAGCCTAAAATATTTGCCATCTGGCCCTTTACAAAAAAAGTTTCTTGCCCCCTTGGCCAGAGTGAAGAATCATTCCCAACCTCTGAGATAACGTCTGTACCTAAATACAGACAAACTCAATTACAGAAACAGTAGGGAAAACCATCTGGGAAATCCATCCCTGAGTTGTCCAAACTTCCTGATTTCCTTAATGACAAAAGCTAACTTCAGTAATTCGATATGGCTCCAGTACTTTGTGTGAAATCATGTTTACAAACTCATCTTTGACACTCCAGTGGGACAACAAAAGTGCATTGGGCCCCACAGTAGAAGGCCTAGTTTTAGCCAAGTCACTTTTAAAAATTAACTATAGGCCCTCTCTGGTGGTGCAGCAGGTTAAAGCACAGCACTAAGAAGACAAAGCCACTTCCGCATGAGTTCGATCCCCACCTGCCCCGGAGGTGACCCACATGGCGTGGCAGACCTCTCCTGACCCACCTGCTGTTCCCTTCAGCAGTGTACTTCATCAATCTGCCTGTTCTGCTCCCCACTCTGTCTCTGGTGAAGCCTCTCGCCACCCCTGAGCCTCTGACCTGTACCCCAGTTCTGTATGCACAAATAAATAAATCTTTAAAAAAAATTAACTATAAATAAATAAATAAATAGAAATTAACCTTCCAGTCTTATTCACTCTGTCTACTGAAAATTATCAAAAAATGTTTTTGAGGAGAGAAGAAAGTTGATAACAAGTAAAATGTGTCCCTTTCCTTAAATATAACTACAAATAGTTCCCTTGTTTGTTGTAAATTAGTTATTAAAGTGGAAGAGAGCTAATTTAAATATGAATAATAGGTTCATTTTAATAAATGTGCATGAATGTGTGGTAACTGTATCACCTCCGTAAGTCTCAAGCTGCCTCCTTATAAAATAAGGGTTTCTATAATCTTGCCAGCAGTGGTACTTTAGGCTACATGACGTACCTCAGTTACTTCATCTATGAAATGGAATTACAGAATCTACTTCTTAGGGTTGTCATGAGGATTAAGTGAGTTAATCCGTGCAACGTGCTTAAAACAGCACTAAATGCATTTAGCTAGCAGTTGGGCATTTTACAAAAATACTCTGATTGGCATCTCTCTGTAACAAGTACTCTGTTATAAAATGGAAAACAGAGATAAAATAGAAGTTGATTCTCTTATATTAAGAATGAATAAAACTGAAATCTACATATATTAACATTTGTGTTTGTATAAACTGATGAGTCTCTGAGATGGCCAAAACTATTTTGTATCCATGGCCTGTGAATTACTATTTCTGAACGATGATATTAAAAATGACAACTATATTTTGCAAAACTAAACAGCATTATTAGTAATGACTTTCCCATTTATGTTTCAAAAGCCAGAGCTCAGTATTTGCTAAAGGAATGGCTATGGTTTGATCAGAGGTGGAAGAATGTAAAATGTTGCCCAGTCTGGCAGTGTATATGAAATACAACCCTTCTGAACAAAACAAACTTGACATACAAGTATAGCTTCATTTATCTATTCACAAACAGATATTTGCTTGAGTCCTCACTGACCAAGATTTAAGTAGAAAATCTGGGAAGGATGCATGACAAGAGCAAAAACTGGTGTCACAAGACCAAAAACTGGAGATCAGGGGAAAGATGACTTAGATTATCACTGAACTAGCTACAGAAATGAAAAAATTCTTAGGCCTGGCTGGGAAGAGGGGATGTGAAACTTTGGGCCAGTATAAAAGCCTGCTTTAGAACATACGCACAGGTGTGAAACAGAGACGGGGAAGTATAGATTGAAGATCATTATAGAGAATCATCTGTCCTCTTAAAACCTACCTAGTCATGCCCTAGAAGTAATTAACCTAAGCATTAACAATTCCACATAGAAATGACCCCCCTCCCCATGGAAAGGTTTTATTAGAACATGCCTGTCCCTTCCAAACAGCTCTCCTGCCCACCTGTGACTATGCAGGCATCTCTTTAACAATCCTGTCCCTTTCAGAGTCCTCTTTTTCTGCCCACTTGTGTCTGCAAGTGTCTTCTCCTTACCTTTTTTATTTTTTTTTTTTTACTACACCTGCCCTTTTGGATATAAACAAAAGCCTTTGCCTCCTGGGGAAACCCACCATGTGCTACTGAAAAGGGAGTGCTAATGAAATTTATCAGAGGTAACCCAAGGACCCCACTCTCTGAACTCAACACCTCACCAAACTGACATCACTTACTATGTAATAGTATCTGTTACAGTGATGAGTAAGAAGAAAAGGTTCCTGCTTGGGAGTTAGCAGGGAGGATGATCTACCAGTTACAGTAAAGTGTGATATTTAACAGGAATGGGGATGCCCAGCATGCTATGACAGCATTTGCCAGAGACCTAAAACCAGGTGACAGGAGGAAGAAATCGGAAGCTGTGAGCCGAACAATGAGTTAGAGTTCAGCAAGCAGTTAGTGGGCAATGTCTGGGAACAATAAATACTGCGATAGCTGAGAAAGCAGGTTCAAAAATGCTGGCCAGTCTGGTAGTGTATATGAAACAAAATTGCTTTGCTGGAATATAAATGAGGAGTGGTGGCAAAGGTAATATTGGAGGTGATAAAAATAGTTTACATTTTACCTTAATGGCAAGGAGACATCACTGAAAATTCTAAGCACAAATATGCAACATGAGTAATCAGAATTGAAATAATTGGTGAAAAAATTAGCTTGACTTGAAATGTATGTGAAAAGTAAGCCGAAGGAAAGTTCTTTCATTTATTCCTTCCCTGATTGCTAAAGGGACAAGATGAAGTTTCTTTTTCCTTTAACCTATTTATACCTCAAATATTATAAACAAAAGGGTGAAATAGAAAAATACTGGTTTTCTTATTTACAATGTGGGTGCCTGCATGCTCGATGTCCTCATTCCTAAACAACCACTCCAGCCTAGAAGGAGATACATATAACCATCCTCAGTCACCATAGACCTGAAACAGGTGCCTTGAGTCTTGTCAGTACCATTGCTCACCTGAAGCCAGGTAACCTCTCCGCATCTGCAATGAAGATTATTTCTCCTGCTTCACTCAGATGCTCTTGGTCAACTGTGCAATGTCACTCTCAATGTTTTCCTTAGTTCCTTGTTTCCTTGTTTTATTATTTTCATTCAGTTCCAGAAGAATATGAAAGTTCTTCCCACAGAAGGACATTCACCCAACGTGAATTCCAAGGCTGGTGTTAGAAATCACTCTCCAGTGATGCTTAATAACAAAGCCTCCAAGTTGATACCATTTAAAAGCATTGGGAGCAAGCAAGATGACTCTGGAACTCTATAATGTAATGCGGTGTGATTACACTTTTTCCTTAAAATGAGTTGTTAGCAGACTTTGAAACAAAGGAATGCCTAGGTTCCTTCAAAAAAAGAAAATGCATGAGGTTCAGGGGATATGATTAATGACTGAACACTTTGAATGGATACTCACTTGAGATGAATTCACTTTAAGGGACATTTCCCATTTTATCTTTAAAGGTTCTGCTCCAAATTTCCAAAAGTGTTTATTTGCTATCATGCCTTAAACTTTTATTAAGATGAGTTGTCTGTTATAATATGTATTTAATCATATTCAATGTATGCTGACTTTGACAACAGAATCAGCTTTCGCCACAGGTAAATACCTTGGTTTATAAAATATGGTAAAAAAATACAGATTCTAGCTGCTAAGAATGCCTGTGTTTTTTTATCATTAATTTAATTTCATATTTTCAGCAACACTCACAATTTCATTTTTAACTTTCCAAACAGCATTAAAAAATGTTTTCTCATTTCAAATAAATATGAACTATTTCCATACCATTGTAACTTCTCCCATTCTTCCTATCATTGTGCAAAAAGCCAAAAGCCTTTATGGTTCATAGAAATTTGGAAGTTCTTCTGCCTAAAAGATTGTGCACTGAGGGTTATTCAGTGACATTCTCAGTAATTTACCAAATAACTCTCAGTGGTGTAGCTGGAAGAGTGGAGGTTGTTTAGAGCTTTGATGTCTATGCCTTGCTCTTTCTTTGCCTTTTGTGTTATCCCATGGTGTAGCCAAAGCTAATTAGCATGTGGTCATAATAAGACAGTTCTCCTGGGTCTCAAATCCTATGAAGATGCTAACTCAGAGATGTGAGTTCAAATAATAAAACACACTTGAAAGTGCTTAGAAAAGTTTAAAGCATATTCCAAAAGTATGGCATCATTATTAAATATCTTCTTTGATGAGAAAGGAAGCCTGCTCTTTCATCCAAAAAAAATGAAAATGTCTGAGTCTTTTTTTTTTAATAAGTTGAAGTTATACTGCATATTCTTTAAAAATATATATATACCAAAGACTTTCGTCCATGATGGGTTGGCTTCATGGCTGTAGTTAAGGGGTTCCCATCAGTAAGTAGAATGTCAGGGCAACAATGAGAAGCAAACAAAACGGAGAGGAGAAGGTCTGATAGGCAGCAGATGGCATGAAAATGTCTTCATACTTGTAAATACTCACAACACGCTCTGAAGTGGGCGGTGAGTCTATATCATGCCGGGTGATCGAGCCTTTAGGAAAGAAAGAAAAAAGAATAGGGCAATAGAAAAAAAGCACAGGTTTGTAATGATAGATGCAAATGACAGAAAAACTCAGCAATCTGAATGTCTTTGAAATCATAAATCACATTTAAAAGGATTTTGAATTGGCAATTAGAGTTATCAAGATTCTCTATAATTGTATATTCATAGAGTATAAAAATTAGTTGTTTACCCAAAAACACTGGTTCTCATGAACTCGCACACTTACCAGGTCAATACTACTGGTTGCTCCATAGCACCCCAGTTTTAAGACTGGGGTGTCTTAAATGGCATGTATTTATCCTGGTAAGTATGAGTGACTACCTTTAAGGTCACTAGTGAGTTTTATCTGATTAATACTAAATAGAAAATATTTTTATTTCAAACAGTAAGAGTTACTAGTTTTCATTCTGAACTATATCTTTTTTAAAAAGATTTGTTTATTTATGCATACAAGAATACAAGAGCTGAAATGTAGGTTACAGCTGTGGGGTGCCGTTGGGGAGGCTGAGAGGATTCACCACAGATAGAGTGAGGAGCAGAGCAGGCAGATTTACTGAAATACACTGCTAAGGGGAGCCGTGGGTGAGACAGGAGAGGTCTGCTGTGCCATGCAGGTTACCTCCTTGGCCAGGGATCAAATTCATGCTTCAGTGGTTACCAATAGCTCATGGTGCTGAGATTTAACCCCTTGCACCACCAGGGAGACACTCATATATTTTTTATATGTGGATCAACAGCTCCTGAACACACTAGGTTCTTTTATGAATGGAAATGTGTCTCATTGTCTGTGGGTCATAAAGTATTTGTCTGCCCACGTAAAGAGGGTGTGTCTGTGTGTGGGGGGGTGGGCAGTAGAGTGGAATGGAACAGAAAGTAGGAGGATTAAAATACCAAACAAGTCTTTAGACAGGAAACTTTTTTAACTTGGTTAGAAGTGAAAAGAGAGAAAGACTGCACAAAGGATGCTTTCTAAATTGAAGCTGATTAGGATGCCTGATCTCCTAAAGAATCCACATGAAATTTAGGGAACTAAGGCAGATAACTTCAGAGCAAAGGTCTCCTTGGAAACAGGTTGGGAGTGAGGGTTTTAAAGATCCTATTGTTAGGGAAACACTGCTAAACCCCACATGCTCATGCCAGGCTCCACCATCTGTGCAGGCTCCTCTTAGCACCACGCAGACTCCTCAGGTTGGCATGAGATTTTTCTCTCAACAGATCCCAATCACCTCTCTCCTACCTAATCTCCCTCATTGGTATCTCCTTCATGAACTCCCAAGCTTAACTGTGTTCCTTCAGTTTTTGACTTCCTGGAGGGAAATCTTACCCCATGCAGCCCTTCAAGTCCTAGCTCAAAATGTATCCTCTGTGAGAGACCTTAAAGGAATGGGAGGAATTAGAGGGAATTCAGGGAAAAGGAATAAAACAGAAGCCTGTCTCTGGGGTAGGAATCTGCCTGTATATTTGGAGAAGATGAGAACAACAAGGAAAGTCCTGAGCAAGCTTAACAGGCAAAGGGGACAGGGTCTGAACATTAAGGTCGAATGCTATAGAGGCAAGAAAGTAAAGTATAGCATTTCCACTCTCTAAAGCAATTTCAGCCGTTGGTTTTCACTTAATTCTTGTAATCATCCTATGAAATCAATGTTATTATCCTCTTTTAAGATATGAAAAAAAAATTACAGTTCAGAGTTTAAAGGGTAGATACAGATTCTTCTTGTAGATACAGATTCTTCTGTACCTACCAGTGAGAAGAATGCAAGCACCAAGTGCTAGATTCCACATCATTCTATGTCAGTTCATTTCTCCAGATGTAAAATTTATTTCCTAGGGCACTGAATATATAATACTAAAGATATAATGGCAGTTTTCTTATCAGTAATCTGGAAAATAGCAAGTGGGAAAGGTATCTAATTGCTTTCTCAATTAGAACAGCCAAAAAAAAGTAAGTTATGAAATCTCCAGACACATCAATGGAAGCACTTTGAAGGGGGAAAGAAAACCAGATCGCATAAGGCAACAACTGATGATGAGAAGACAGTAAAAAAGACACAATTACCAGGAGCCAGAATGAGTTCTCATACAAGGTCTGCAAACAGCTCACTTTCATTTTCACTCAGGTCATTAAGTTAATCAACCAGGAGGAATGCTAAAGATACAGTGTAATTTGACTTTAGCAGTCTCTAGAAGGTCTTGTAACACCCTCGGATATTTTAGGGGGAAATGCTAAGGAGCCTGACTACACAAAGTGATTTCATCAATGGAATGGCATCAACAGGAAGCTTGTTAGAAATGCAGCCTTGCAGGCCCCACCCCTGACCTACAAAAAAAACTGTATTTTAATGATATAGCCAGGCAGTTTCTATGCCCATTAAAACTTGAGGACTAATGGGCTAAATTAGTTTGGTGCATGTGTGATTACCACAATAGTCATAAAGTGAGCACTAACGAAACACTTAGTGCCGATCTCTAGAGAACCGCCAGAGCACTTTCCTGCTCAGTGTTTTCTTATTTGGGGCATAGGTGTTATGAGTACTCACTGATTTTGCTGTCAGACAGATTTAAGACGGAATTTTAGTCCCTCCATTTTTAGCAGTTGGGCCTTGAACAAGTTCCCTAATCTCTCTTCAATGAGGATGATAATACCTATACCTCTCAAGGACATGGTGAGTTATAAATGAGAATGTTTGGGGACTTAAATAGAGCCCATACCCCATACAGAGCAGGCAAATGATCTGTTTCATTATACTCCCAGCTCATCACAGACTCGTACACTGCTCTGGCTAAGTACATGACTAACTTGTCCATTTATACATTTCATGTGTCTAAGAAGTCCTTCTGAAGGCAGAGGAAACCTCTCCTCTACCCTTTCTGTTCCCCCTTGCCCAATAAATAAGGAACACAAGCACAGTGATATCTGGGCATTTGACCCAGAGGCCACCATGGAAGCTTACCCTGAATGGCTGGACCCCATGCAAACAGGTAATACCAACTCAAATGCAGATCGACAATTGTTTCATCTCTGGGAACATTTACAGGACGTTTAAATCTGCAGGTGACCCGATTGTTCTCAAAAACTCCTTCTTCGTCTCTGGCAGGATTTCTCTGGATCTCCTTTGCCCACTGGCCCACATTATAGAAGTGCTGGATGCGGACCCTGCCATTGTCATCGTGGACACAGGCCATGACGTCATCACCACCCTAGTCAAAGTGATGAGGAAGAGAAAAGTCAAAGTGTTGTCTTTTGCAATCCTACCTGCTGGAAGAAATTCCCTTCAGACATATATATACCATTACCTCTGTAATTTGAAATGCCATCCCCAAATTCACTTTAAATATCATTAAGAAGCTTTAACATCAAGTGTCCAAAGTTAGCATCAGAACAGCTGACATTGACTGCCTCTCAAAATGATGTTGGGAGAATCCATCACCAGCTATTTTATGTTTCTATCAAAACACAAAAACCTTACAACCCCCAACCCCAAAAGAAGTCTTAGAAACTATTTTGCAATTAAGAAGACTAAAGATACAAGACAAATACTGGTGTTCCTAGATAGAACCCCCAGGTCATAAAACAAAACTTTCTATCAAGGACACTGGAGCAACTGGAAACATTTGAAAATGGACACTAAATTGGACAATATTATCATATCAATGGTAAACATCTTGAACAAAATGAAAGAGAATGTCCTGGATCTCAGAAGAGTCCTGCTTAAATATTTAGAGCTAAAGGGTTACAATATCTTTGATTTCATCTCCAAAGTTTTCTAAAAATAATGAGTAATAGCACTAGGAGTAGTCATAGCGAGAGATAAAACATGTGGTAGCAAATGTCATCATTGGTGACAAGGCTCCAGAACTAGACAGTACATTGGCTCTGTTCTGTGCATGACTAGCGCTACCACACCTTAGTCGCTGAAGTGGTTTATGTTATGTATATTTTACCACAGTTAAAGAAATAACCTTTTGGTGCATATAAATAAAACATTTATGTAGGAGCTTTTTTTTTTTTTTGCACTAGCCTTGCAGTTTATCTGCAGCTCTAACATTGATGTTAAAATACTTAAAGGCATTCATCAATTATAGCAATGGCCCACTGTGTGCAGAATGATGCTGATGGCGGAAGCAGTGCTTGTGTGGGGTTGGAAGCACACGGGGACCCTCGATTCAGTTTTGCTGTGAACCTAAAACTTCTCTGAAAAATAAAGTCTGATTTTTAAAAACCCAATAATACAGCCCATTATAAAAGAAGTTGAAAGCAATCAGAATGGCGTTCCATTTTGCTTTACTTATCCATCAGGGTTTGAAAATCTGTCAACTGTGTTTCTTCTGGAACAAGTAGAAGAACAGAGAGACTACATTATACAAGGCTTTTAGATAGCAAAGATAAAATTTGAATGTTCCTCATTCAATGTCCTCTGAGCCCCCTAATCTTAACAGCGACGCCCTAAGTATTAACGCAGACTTACGTATGTTCACTAGGTGGTAAGTGATACAGATTCATATCCACGTGGTCCAATTCATACCAGTTGGACCAATTGTTTTACTGCCTGGGCCGGAAGCTCATTTTCCTGGTGACTTCTCAAAGAACAAAGTTCTGGTAGGTGTTGCTTCATCTCTGACCACAACCCACATCTAATCTAACAGCGACCTCCATCAGCACCAACTGCAAACATATCCAAATTCTGAACACTTCTCACAACCCCTATGGCTGCTCTCTGCCTGAGCTGCTCTCCTTTTACCACATGGGCCTCAAAGTAGGCCAGGGGAAGAGCAGAGGAAAGATCTGCACACAGCAGCAGCCGGTGCACAGCAGAGGCCTGAGGCTTTCTGGCAATTGGGGAAGCACCCTGGCAAGTGAAGTGGCAAATGACAGGGCTCAGAGAGAAGCAGGGGTAGAGACACATAGCTGCCTGGGTTCCTGATGCTCTGCCTGCTCAGGCCTGGTGCTCTCTGAGGTCCAGATGTGTTCTGGCCTGTGGGGACTGTGGACGACTAACCTGCCAGACCTGAGTCCCGCTGCCCTGCAATAATAGGGCATACCCATGTGTCCTGAATATTAGCAGGTTTGAACTAAACCTGCCTGGTTTTGAATATTAGCAGGTTTGAACTAAACCTGCCTGGATTATTAGCAGGTTTGAACTGAACCTGCCTGGCTTTGCTCTTTTGTCTCTACCATGAATATGACAGGCCTTGGTAGAAGCTACTTCTAGAATGATTTTTAAAACACTAATTGCAACCCATGGACTGAAAGTTAGTCTAATTGAGCCCCAGTCAATCCACACACATGCGAGTAAGAAATAAACACTTAGTGTTATCAGTCATGTTGTTGTACAAACTCTTCTTGTAAGAAATAACTCTTCTTGAATATGGGCTCCAGGGACTACTGTGTATTCACATAACCAATCTCCTTCTCTTGAATTTTTTTTACTGTCATCAGAGAGCCATAACTAGTATAATCCATACAGTGCTTTCATTAATTCATTTGCTTTTGCTTTTTGCAAAAGACAATCAAATACCAGAAGTTAGCTTCTAACATTTAAGAGTAGCATAGTAGCTTAGAGAAAGGACCGTTCTTTAAAATCTAAAGCAGCACAGCAAACTAAAGAGAAAAGTCAACTTCAGGCATGATTTGCGTCTTACCATTTTCTTGTCTGAAGAAAATCCAACTGCTACCCAACCATCAGTGTCTGCGCTCAGTTCAAATTCCACATCGGCGCCTATCATCCGGTAGCTAAGGAAGTAGTCGCAGGTCTCTGCACTACAGCCTGGTTTCCCATACCTATGCAAACACACATTATTGCTTCCTCACTCACTTACTCAAAATAAATGAAGAGAACATCTGTGCATGAGACAGAAGACTAAGCAATATTATAAAATAAGTTGGATCTTTCTGACCTTGGATTTCAAAAACATGGTCTCACTCAAGAGGGACCTCAGGGATGACTCGATCCACATTATCTACATATAAACCCAGGACCAGAGACAGGAAGGAGCTTGCCACTCTGTATTGTCTTGTGTAACAGAGTATTGCAGACTCTGGGTCCCAAAACTCCCAACCAGTGATCTCTACATTGTATTAGAGTATCCTATATTAGTTATTATTGAACTATTTCTGAATCCCTTTCAGAAGAAAAAATTCTCTGAAGTAAGGTTGTTATTTGTTAATTAAATGCATATTGATTCTTTTTACTTTCACATTTTGATGCAATTAAACTAATACATATTAACGAAGTAAATGTAAGTTAAACCACAAACTAGGAACATTTAAATTCGTAATATCCACGTGATAGGTGAGGTAGTTGCTTTATGTCAGTTGATATGTCTGACTGTGGAAGGTCTTTAGATTGAGCATTGTTCTTACTATCCTTGACTTTTATCTGCTTAAACCACTGCAAAATGCGCCAAATGAATCTCATCCAATGCTCCCTAAGCAAAACATGCAGGCTTAATTTCTAAAATTTGGTTTTACTCTATTGAAATACTTGGTGTTGATACAATTATAAATGCAGACATTAAAGCACAGAGCAGTGGAGAGTGGTTCTCCAGACAATCCGATTAGGTGCACATTAGTCTTTTAAAAAAGCATCATTGAAATGAAAACACAAATTTCAGTTTTTTGACAGAGAACTATGGCTCCCTTAAGAATGGGCAAACCCGGCCCTCAATGGTGGCGCAGCGGGTTAAAGCACAGCACTAAGAAGCTTAAGCCACTTCTGCATGAGTTCGATCCCCGCCTGCCGCGGAGGTGTCCACATGTCGTGGCAGACCTCTCCTGACCCACCCGCTGCTCCCCTCAGCAGTGTACTTCGTCGATCTGCCTGTTCTGCTCCCCACTCTGTCTCTGGTGAATTCTCTCACCCTCCACATCTCTGGCCTGTACCCCAGTTCTACATGAATAAATAAATAAATCTTTAAAAAAAAAAAAAAAAGAATGGGCAAACCCTAGTCTGAAGAACACCGTGTTATAATTTTCAGCATGACAGACAATTAACACAGTGGGTAGAACATGGAAGCTCAGATGGCAGGAGTGTGAAGAAACAAGGATGAGGCAGCTTGGTGCTAGCTGAGGAGGGCACAGGCAAAGCCACCAGGCTGGCAGGAAGAGATGTGAGTTCAAGGCAGCAGGGAACTGGGGTGAAAAAGCTGTAAAGGGGCAAGAAAAGCTAAAGGAGGAGTGGAAGGGTCAGCGAACAAGTCACCAAGAAGCCAGCAAGGTACTAACTTCCTTTCTCTAAAGAGACCCCTGATTGCCAGAATGATACAGTACTGGGCACTTCCTTAGTAATGGCATTACTGAACATCTGATTCCTCAGAAATGCCCCCGTAGCCCAGAGAAACCCTAATGTTCCTTTTTTTTTTTTTCTCCTTGTAATTTTAGTACTGAGCCCCAGAAACTCAGAACTTTCAGGGCAGTGGCCATCAAATCTTTACTCCAGGACAACTTTTTCGGGAAATAAGATTTCAAAGAGATGGAGGCTTTGCCAGTAGAGTGGAGCTATTTAGTGGGGGCCCACTGACTACACAACAGAACCCTGCTAATAATCCGGAAGAGACTTGTTACACGTGACATCACAAGCGGGCTACAATCACATGCTTACTGACTAGTTAGCATTGTAATTACACCCATAAGTCATGACTTTTGCTTTAAAAGGGGTTGGGTATTAGACATGTCTGTCATCACTTGACCCACCCATAGTCCCAGATAAATAAGCACAGATATAACCTATGTTCTATGATTCTTCTTCCTACATCCTGCTAGTTAGGGGTAGATGCCTGGGCCTATGGCAGCCTAGTCAGAATTGAAGGACCACAAAAGAACATTCCAGTGCTTAGTGGCATGTGAGAGCTTAAGACCTGTAAGTCTGAGCTCTGCGAAGACACCAGAAACAGGCACAGCCTTGCTGGAGTTAGGAGGGGGCGCAGGTTTGTGATAAGAATGCCACGCATGCAATTTAGATACTACCTTGAGAAGAAAACCAATGCCTTAGCCTTAAAGTCGTCCAACTCGAAGATCTACCAACCTAAAGCATCCCTTAGTTTTTCCACAGTCCTCCACTTTGATTTTGGCAAACGGATCCACAGGAGGAGCAGTAGGAAAAGGGTAACCTGGGCAGTAAGGAGAAATAGTGGTTAGAAAACCCAGTAGCAGCTTTTCCAGTGAAATCTTTTCTTCTTGTTATTATTATTCTTTTACATTGTTCTTCATTTTGTGCATTTTTGCATCTCGGTTGTAATCCCCATGGGCTTCCCACCTCCCCTGTGCCATCACCACAGTCCAGTGCACTCTTCCTACCCCAGTTCCGATCCCATTCCCCCTTCCACCCCCATAAAGTGTCATCCAGTAAGATATTAGGAGACAATTTTTTAAATTACATATGTCTAGAAATGTTCAGAGTCTTAGGAAAGGGTTTTATTGGCGTGTAATCACCCTCTTTATGAGAGGATATCTAAATCTATAGGTAAGTATCCTCAGAGTTATAGGTAGAGGCAAGGAAACTGAGGCACTAAGAAGGGGCATAATGTCACATAACCACAGGCTCACACTGTCTCATGGGAGTCTGGAAAATCACAATTTGAACACAATAGACATGCTGTAAAAGAAACACTTAACAAGGATATATTTATGTGTATAATAGCTGAGTTTTCCCATCTATATAAATGATACTAGGATTTTTCCGTTTCTCTGAACTTCCATTTTTTTCATTAAGATGTGTAAAATATTTTCACATCTCAGACAATTCTTAAAACACATCGTCCCTAACAGCTGTGCAGCTTTCAAGATAACATCAATATTGAACGGTATGAGGAAGGAGACACCTGCGTGTGCTTCCAGTTTGTGACAAATATATTTTCCTCCAAGGTTGTTTATTCTGTGCACTCGGGAACCATGTGTGACCCATCTTGTATTCTCTGTCCCACATGGTATTTGGCAATGGACACTGAATAAATGATTGCCAAGTATGTAAGCAGTATCACCATGCTATCAAGTAATATAAAGTTTTAATAATTATTCTATTTTTCTCTTGCCATTATTTTTAGGTTTCTTTGTAATATTTTAAACATAAGCCCTTGTCAATCTTGTCTCACTAGATTACATTTTATTTTAAAAAATTAACTGGGTCTCATGTTCCTGCTCCACACCCTTGTGTTCTGTACAGCTCATTCCCTTGCTCACATAATAAAAGCAAGTCCCAGTTTTTCATCACCTTCAAGTAACTGGGCCAAATGCATACTTCCCTAGTTGTAAATTTATTTTATATTAAGCCCCATATTGACCTATCAAAGGCTGAATCTTCCTTATTTGAGTTATTTGCTTTTCTCTTAATATTTTTGAGCAACTGTTGATGTATGTTCTCCCTCTCACTTCTCAACACAATGCTGAGGCCAATTTTTATTAAATATTTATCCAGGAATACAATGCTTACTTAATTGTTTGCTTTATAGATTCTAAAAGCAACTGACAAAGACAGATTCTCTCTCTCTCTTTTTTAAAGATTTATTTATTTATGCTTACAGAACTGGGGTACAGGCCAGAGGTATGATGGGTGAGAGGATTCACCAGAGACAGAGTGGGGAGCAGAATAGGCAGATCCACTGAAATAAACTGCTGAGGGGAGCAGCGGGTGGGTCAGGAGTGGTCTGCTGTACCATGTGGGTGAGCTCGCTGGCCAGGGATCAAACACATGCTGCAGTGGCTTCTGAGAGTTTCACAATGCAGTGCCTTAACCAGGTGCACCACCAGGGAGAGCCAGACAATCTCTTTTAAGTTGTTTCTGACTCAGCTTTCCCATCTTCCTCCATTTTTTCTAAATTATTTTCCTTGTTTCTTCCTAGCTTCTAGAATAATGTTTGGCATATAAGATTTCCAGCTCAATAAAAGCCAGTTATTATCACTACTCCATTATGACTAGTAAATATCATAAACTGGATTTAGAACCAATAACCAATAGGTAAGACTGTAGAGACATGGATTTATAAGACCCAAATAACCCATTTGGGGTCAAATTCCACATATAAATGTACCAAATTAGCTTATTAGTGATGGCCAATGACTTATTTCTCAGAACGTTTCTAGAACTCATTTCCTCTGTTATGGCTCCACTACTTGGAATGAGAACTTGTGTTATCAAATGCACTTGGGCATCCATTACTAGTACCATTTTCCTCTAGCTCTGTAAACTGCTGCCTAGCAAAGAATGTGGCTGGCCTTTGTGCCTGGTTCCTAGGAGAGACAACCTAAATCCTTGGGAATTTCCTAAAAGAATTGCTTTTGTTATTCATGAGCCCTGAGATCACACTTACATTTATGCTGAGATGACTCAGGATCTGGGATAGTTCCACATAGACCAACTATGTGACTGGAAGATGGGGCTTTGAATTACCCCTACCTCTGGGGAGATGGCTGAGGCCTAGAGGTCAGGGTCTAGAGATTGAGTTCAATTATTTGGCCAATGATGAAATCAATCATGCGTGTATAATAAAACCCGGATAACAACTGCAGGCACTGAAGCTGACTGCAGCTTCCTGATTGGTGAACACTGATGTGCCGGAAGGGTGACACGTCCCAATTCTGTTAGGAGAGGCCTTGGAAACTGTACTCCGGAGCTAACCACACCTCATTCTGGGTGTCTTCATTGGCTGTTCCTGAGTTAAGACCTTTATAAAACAACTTAGGGTAAGTATATCACTTTTCTGAGTTATGTGAAATGTACTGATGAGTTACAGAACCTGAAGGAGTACCTGGTAGCTGTAGAACTTGAGGTAGGTAGCTCTCTGATTTGGAGCCAGTTAGATTGAAGTGAGGACAGTTTGGTCAAGTTTACCCTTTAACTTATAAGTTCCTTCTAACTCTGCAACATTAGTACTAGAATTGAATTTCAGTACACCCACTGGGATTGGTATCAAAATACAAGTAGAGTACTATTCCCATTTCCCCCTAAAATTCAACAGTCTATTTGGAATACTTTGGGCTCTCTTTCAGTAGTCAAGCTTATCTCTCCATGACAAGCCAGTCTTCTAGGGCAGCTCTCTGAAGAGCTGAGGCCTCTGAAAACCACATTTTTCCTCTTTCAGCATAGGCTCTGCCAATAGGAAACATAAGAGGAAGCCTGGGAGGGAAAAAAGACTTTTCTTCCTGTTGGATTGCTGTTCCAACAAGCAAGTACTCAACAGCTCCCTTTCATCCTGACAATGATAGGTTGAGTTTCCGTTTTGTTTCTAGCCTCCAGCACCAAGCTCACTATATACTTAAAAGAGCCAAGGCAGCTGGCTACACTCCTTTGCTCCCCAGTCTCTGGGGGGAGGTCGGGTTATGGAGTCCCTTGCGCTGAGCTTCCAGGTTATTATAACCTCAAGTCCTTCTCTTTGCTCCCTAGATTTGCTGCTCCCTGCGAATCTTTGCGTTCCTTTTCAGCTTCTCTAGCCCCCGAGTGCCAATGTAGGCAGCTCCCTGGACTGGCCACGTGTATAAAGCTAGTAGTTTCTGCCTGTTTGGCTGGACCTTGATAGATCAAGGATCCATTCGAACTTACCACCTATGCTCCATATGTTCACTTTTATATATGCGTGTCCTTGAAAAATTAGGGTTTGCATATGCTTTTACTTCACATAAATGACATCATTTAGTGATTATCACTATGATTTTCATCTTTAAATCTACCCACACATGTAAATGTGAAACTTGTCACGACTCCTGAGTGAACAGTATGCTACATAACAGTTTTTGGCTTGGATAGATTATCTCAGTTTTGCTTTTTTCATTTCATTTATTCTTTTTTTTTTTTAAAAAAAGATTTATTTATGCACACAGAACTGGAGTACAGGTCAGAGGTGCAGGGGAGTGAGAGGATTCACCAGAGACAGAGTGGGGAGCAGAAAAGGCAGGTCAAGGAAGTACACTGCTGAGGGGAGCAGTGGGCGAGACAGGAGAGGTCTGCCGTACCATGTGCATCACCTCCGGAGCGGGGATCGAAATCGCACAGAAGCGGCTGCATGCTCTAGCCAGTTGTACCACCAGGGAGGGCCCTCATTTATTCTTATGCAGCTTTGTATTATTTTTGTTTTTATTTTTCATTGAATGCTTAGCTCACTGGCTTTTAATCCTCCTTATTTTCTAGTAAATATACTCAAAACCATAAATTTCTCTCTAAGCTCTTCTGACAGACAATGCTTTGATTGTCATTGTAAATTCATTTTAATTTTTCTTACAACTGTCTCTTTACCTCATGGCTACTCATATTGTTGTTTGTTTTTCCTTTCCAGATACAAGTGATTTCCCTTTACATTTTTGTTAATTTCAAAAATTACTACAGAGATGGGCCTCCCTGGTGGTGCAGGGGTTAAGTCTCAGCACTATGAAGCTATTCACACT